TTTTTTTTTTAAAGATTTTATTTATTTATTTGACAAAGAGATAAAGAGAGAGAACAAGTAGTCAGAGAGGCAGGCAGAGGGAGAGGGAGAAGCAGGCTCCCCGCAGAGGGTGAAGCGGGGCTCGATCCCAGGACCCTGGGATCATGACCTGAGCCGAAGGCAGCCGTTTAACCAACTGAGCCACCCAGGCGCCCCTAGAAGATTCTTTTAAAGGTTATGTCCTTCTCTGCCCTGGCATCAGAAAGGAACGACATTGTTCCCAAAAATATGTGTTCATGTCGTATGATTGGTGCAGAGGGAAGGGACTTCCACGTGCTCTGGTGAACTCCATCCTTCCTGAGAGCCGGCTCTGTGCCCAGCACTGTGCCCCACAGGACCTGCCTCTGTGCAGACGGCAGGCACACACTCAACTGTCCTTTGTCGTGGGCTGGTCTCATGTCTGGCCCTGTACTGAGTGTTGTGTGTTCCAGTTAATTCTCAAAATAGCCTCTCTGGGGAGGGGAGGGGTCATGATCCTCCTCTCATTGCCAAATAAACTGAGGTTCCATGAGTTAAAGAAACGTGCCCAGGGAGGGGCAGAGCTGTGAGCAGTGGGGGTGGCCCTGGAGTCGAACCTCTTTGCCATGTCCCCAGCCTGTCGACAGGCCCAGCGAGGTCCCCCGGGTGCACAGGAGTTGTAGTTAAACCTATGGAGACAGCACTCGGCCACAAGTGAGGAAATGAAACCTCCTGGCTTTCTTTGTAATACTGGTTTGTTCTGTGTTTGTTTTAGTGCAAAAAGGTGTTTTTATTAAAGCATAGGACGGGGCCCATGGGCAGAAAGGATTGCCTGTTTTTCTTTTTAATTGAAAAAATAATATGTGAACCTAGCAAAAAGAAATTCAAGCAGGAGGGGCGCCTGGGTGGCTCAGTCATTAAGCATCTGCCTTGGGCTCAGGTCATGGTCCCAGGGTCCTGGGATTGAGCCCCACATCGGGCTCCCTGCTCAGCAGGGAGCCTGCTTCTCCCTCTCCCACTCCCCCTGCTTGTGTTCCCTCTCTCACTGTGTCTCTCTCTGTCAAATAAATAAATAAAATCTTAAAAAAAGAAAAAGAAAGAAATTCAAGCAGGAGAGAAGAAAATACGACGAAAGTACACAATGAAAAGCAGGAATCACTCCCACCCAGACCCCCAGTGCCCATCCGAACGAACAACAGGTTTCTTGGTTGGGAAGTTTTTCGTATGAGCCAAGCTGTGCCAGACCAGCCCCCAGCCAACCCTGGTACAGCCGGCGTCCTGTTTTCCGGCAAACCTCCTTTCTCCGTTGCTCCCCTTAATGTCCCTACCGTGTTCTCACAGAGTCAGACTTCCCTTCCCTTCAAGTGGGCGCAGGAGACTGGCACGGAGGGTGTCAGGAAGGGTCATGTGGGGGCTTGTGTTTGTTGGGCTCCAGCCCACCCCGGTGTCCCGCTGTCAGCTCCTAGGGAAGAACGCATCAGCTGGCCTGAACCAGGTGAACAACCAGGGACAGACTCCGCTGCACCTGGCCTGCCAGATGGGGAAGCAGGAGATGGTCCGCGTGCTGCTCCTTTGCAATGCTCGGTGCAACATCATGGGGTCCGCTGGCTACCCCATCCACACGGCCATGAAGTTCTCCCATAAGGGGTAAGACCTCACTCCCCCGCCTGGCTGGCTGGGCCTCTGGCTCCCGCAGCTCTTCTCACGCCCAGGTGAGCACTGGCCTCCGCAGGCTCATTAGATGTGTTTCTGCTACTTGTGCCAAGGACCAGCCTGGCCCGAACAAGGTACTTGATGAACGTGTAGTGGATGTGAATCTCAGTCCAGAAAGTTAGCTGTGCAAAGAGTAGCATTTTAAAATGTTTTCTGTAATGCACCTTAATTTCTGTCCAGGATCCTCCCTCTACCAGACTAGAGAAGAACAATCCAAGTCTTCCCCGGCGTCCCCCCTTTCCACCTCCCCCAGGTGGTCCTCCTGTGCCAGAGTCACATGCAGCCCCAAGGAGGGCTGGGTCCTAGAGGATGGGTCCTCTTCCGTCTAGGCCCACCAGCCCGATCTGAACCCCTTCGTGGCTACAGCGCTGCTCTGTGGCTTCGCAGATTCCTGGCTCTAAGCCCAGGAATGCTTGGCGAGGTGGCCCAGAGCCCCTTCTGCCTAGATGTGTCCATCCTTCCAGGCTGGTGGTGCTGCTGGGATGCAGGTACCAGGCCCATGCCTTGGGGAGCTCTGGACCACTCTCGCATTTCTTCCCTTCTCCCCAGACCTGGGAAACCCTGGTCTCAGGAAAATTCTCCATGTGAAGTGTGTGTGTGTATGTGCGTGCGTGCGTGTGTGTGTGTGTGTATAGGGTGGGGGGTGTGTGATTAAAGAGATGAAGGGGTGCCTGGGTGGTGCAGTCGGTTGGGCATCCGACTCTTGGTTTCAGCTTGGGTCATGATCTCAGGGTGATGAGATTGAGCCCTGTGTTGGGCTCTGTGTGCAGCGTGGAGTCAGCTTGAGATTCTCTCTCTCTCTCCTTCTCCCTGCCCCTCCTGCTTGTGTGCGCTCTCTCTTGCTAAAATAAATAAATCTTAAAAAAAAAAAAACAGAGAGAGAGAGAGAGAGAGATGAATATCTCAAAACATGCCCAGTGAGAACAGTATCTAGAATGACTGACGGAATGAAGGGCTCAGTCGGTCCCTCTGTCTGGGCGCTGTGCTAAGCGCTGGCCTTGAAGAGACGGACCCGGACAGGAGACACAGAAGTCACTGGGTCCTTCTAGGCTGTGTGCTGGACAGGCAGGGGAAGAGCACAGAGGGCGGCACATGCGTCGGGGGCAAGCCTTGCCCTCCCGCAGGTTTTCCCTTTTTCTGGAGTCCCGGAGTCTGCACCCACCTTGCCGGCCCCGTTGCCATGGCTATCCCCTCAAAGGTCTAGTCCAAGCTTGGGCCAGCCTACCTTTCCGTGATCCTCCGCAGCACAGCCAAGATGGACCAGAATGTTCAGGAAGACTTGACCAAATGGTTGGAGACAGTGCCAAAACCCTCATCCCCAGTAGTCATGTTCCCTGATTGCAGGTTGCAACCCAAATGGGCACAAGTGATGGCTGATGCTTTTTTATCCCCGAGAGGTGGCATGGCGGCCCTGTTCTGGCTCAGCTCCGGCCACCCCAAGCTTTCCTGTCCAGGGGCCTGGTATTGCCTGGCTCGCTCGCTCCTTAGACGCCTCTGGCCACATTCTTCTCTGCCCCTGCCAGGCCTCCCCCCGTGGGGCTGGTACACATCACAAGGGATCATGCACAGAAGACGATGCGAGTGGCCTCACACTGTGGGCATGCCCTACACAGCCCCACATGGCCACGTCCTCCCAGGGCCCCAGCGGGGACATCCCTCTGCCACCATGTGGTAGCCAGCACAGAGGTCCCGTCCCGGCTCCGATTTGGGAGCCCCTCTGCTATTTATGTCAACTCAGCTGACCTTTATAGAGCCCGGTTTGGGCCTGGGACTTGACTTTCACTTTGCAAAATGTCTTCAAGGTTCATTAGTGTTGTAGCATATATCAGAATTCCCTACCCCCGCCCCCACTTTTTTTTTAAGATTTCATTTATTTATTTGACAGGGAGGGAGGGTGCACACAGAAGCAGGGAGAGCAGCAGAGGAAGAGGGAGAAGCAGACTTCCCGCTGAGCAGGGAGCCCCATGCGGGGCTCGATCCCTTCTCTCCTTTAATCCCCACCAGTCCAGTGAGGACCATGCCCATGTTGCAGATGGGCTCAGCCACTTGCCAGAGATCACCAGTGAGGAAGCTGGGGTTACCCAGGCCTGCCTGACTTTAAGGCCAGCACCAGTGAGAGTGATCATTGCTGATTGGAGTTATCAGGGAAGACTTCCTGGAGGTGGGGGCTTGAGCTAGGCCTGTGGGGGCCCAGGATACCCTTGACATACCATAGCATACATGCTGGTTGGTTCTGTTGCAAAACCAAGAGAAATTTTGCAGAAACTCTTCTTCACCAGGAGATGAAGCCTCAAGTCATGGCCTTTTCCAGCCCCAGGCCACCTCCCTCCACCCCCACGACCTTCTGTACTGCCCGATGGCTCCTTTCTCCCTAGGTGTGCTGAAATGATCATCAGCATGGACAGCAACCAGATCCACAGCAAAGACCCTCGCTACGGAGCCAGCCCCCTCCACTGGGCCAAGACCGCTGAGGTAGGCAGCCTGAGGGTGAGTGGTGGGTGGGCAGGGGGCAGAGTCCCAGAGCCCCCTGTTCCTCAGCTGCCTGCAGGAAGGCGGTTCCTAAGATGACTCCGGGGATGGCGCCATGGGGGTTGATCTCTTAGTGGTCCTGCAGGGGGAGACATAGATGACATCCCGGTGTTGTTCTGCTGCTCACTGGCACGGTGGCAAGGTCCCCTCCGTGGCTTCTTTGTGTATGAATGGGGCGTCCTACAGGCTGCCTTCGGAGGTGTGAAGTCGGCGAGGCAATGTGTGAGAAAAGTCTTTGTAACTGGTCAAGCGGGAGGTGGTGTGATGCTCAGGCTGGGTGGCTTTCTGGGAGGCCTTCCCTAAGCCAAGTCCACCCCCCGGGGAGGATGGAGGCCTCTGGTGTCTCACTGCCCGGAAGCAGAGCTCAGCAGTGCCCTGGGTGCCCCAGAGACTGTGGCCTGTTCTTAAACGTGATGGGCCAGGAGGGAGGAGATTGCCAACCTCTGCTGGGCACCTTCTCCCTGCCAGTGGCTAGACAACAAGTCAGGCCCTTTCGTGTATGTTTTGTCGTTCACTGTCACCACTCTGTGAAGAAGGCCCTTCTCTCAGAGAAGAGAAAACTGGGTGCAGGGGGTGCGGTGACCCACCCAAGCTCAGAGGACTGGGATGAAGTGGGGTTGAGCTTTGGGCGCAGGACGGGCGAGCTCCAAAGGCCAGGCTCCCCGGGGCTGTCGGGTATAGGGGTGTGTGTTGCCCAGGCCCAGGGAGGGGTCAGACCTTTGCAGGATCCCAGGGAAGGTCGCAGGGAGTGGGGCAGTTCTGGGAGTTTGCAGAGATGCATGGGGTCCTGTTAACTCCAGGGAAGAACCCAGAAGCCCCTTAAATCAGTCAGTATATCTTCAGCCTTTTGTCCTCTACTTCTGGGGTGCTGATAGCCTGGGCCAGGGTCTAGGGCCACCCCCAGAACTGGGGCCTGCCACCTAAGTTCTTCTTGTGGCTGGAGCTTTCCAGAAGCTCAATTCCTGAGGGACTCTCAGGGAGGAGGTGACGGCACCCGGGTGTCCCCACCTACCCACTCCGGCGAGGACCCTGTCTCCCGCAGATGGCCCGCATGCTGCTGAAACGGGGCTGCGACGTGAACAGCACCAGCTGCGCGGGGAACACGGCCCTGCACGTGGCCGTGATGCGCAACCGCTTCGACTGTGTCATGGTGTTGCTGACCTACGGGGCCAACGCCGACGCCCGCGGGGAGCACGGCAACACCCCACTGCACCTGGCCATGTCGGTGAGCCCACCGTCCGCATCCAGCAGCGCCCGTGCGGGGGAGGGGGCGCCTGCCCCTCACTCCCCTCACGCAGTGCCCTCTTCCTTTCCCCGCTGCTGGCAATCTTATCAGCTTAGACCCTGCCTTCTCCCTCAGGAGCCTTCTGTGTCGCCCTCTCAGCCCAAAATACCACCTCCTTCCTCTGCGCTGCAGTTCCTCTCCCTCCTGTGCTCCCCATTTGACAAGGGCATGGGGTGAGAGGAGCAGTACAGCCCCGACGACCTGCTTTGGCCTTGGGCAAGTCACCTCTGTCAGCCTCGATTTCCTTATCTGGAAACTGGGGGTGTCGGCACCCACCAGGCAGAGCTGTTGAGAGGAGTGAGTGACGGACCCTTGGTAACCCCTGGAGCGTCCCTGAAATGTCGCTGAGATGTCAGTTCTCCC